GACTAGAATTATGTATCATGCGGGCAACATGTGGTACACGTTGTTGCATGGTTGAAGAAATGCGGGGGGCAGATGAGGGGTTTCAAGGCTATCGTCGTCGTCCTCGGCCATTCTGCGCCGATGGGTTAGTGACAAGCGATAGTACTATGTTCTTGGCGGAATTTTTCCGACCACTGAAGAGGGTTTAAGGAGATTGCTTATAAATATTCCAAGGCAGGAACGTAAGAAAACATGTCATTGATGATTTCGTGCCTAAACGTCGAGGAAAATGACTGGCAGGTGCCTGGATGCGAGGCGTACTAAGCCCTCGTATCCGGGCCGCTCAGGGGTCAATCCAGGGACTGCCACAGGGGCAGATGAACGCTATGCCATTTGGAGTAGGGTACTCGTGTACATTGTGTCATCTACTTTCTTAACTGCGGAGTTTCCGAAGGAAATTGGCCTGTGCACAGATATTCAAGCAAGAGAGATGTCATTAAGTGCATGGTTCGTGGGCAGGTGTTGCTAGTTTAGCATTTATCGAATATCGGAAAACCACTTTACGAAGCTGTAGAAGAATAGACCCACAATATTATTGGGACCTCAATACCGCTGTTGCTGTGTGTGGGAGACAAACAAGTATGGGGCAAAAAAAAAAGAAAAGAAAAAAGAAACGTCCCGGGAGAGGATCGAACTCTCAACCTCACGATTAACAGTCGTACGCGCTAACCTTTAATGCTGAATTAGTAACTGATTGGGTGTGATGTAGTGATGAAGGGTAAGCTTACCAATTGCGCCACCGAGACGACTCGATATTTGGTGCAAGAAATTAGTGTTATATGTAGGGCGATACTGAAACGAATCAGCTTAGGTGAAAACCAAAGCTGATAACCAAACCCCTCCTGAATTTACATATTTCCAACGCAACATCACTTCGCTAATATGAAAGGTCTTTATTGCCATGCTTGCTTCATAGTGCGCTGGAAATCTTCCAGCTATGAGTTCTATTATATGTACTTTGAGATTTCTGTGTAGGAGTAGTGTAATGCCAAGTGGATCCCACCACTGTCTAACCGTGGACATAAACATCGTCTTTAAAGGAGCATCTATGTTCTATACGGCTATAGCGAACTCCCCAGCAAGGTCGCAGGACTATTTTCACCCGTCTCAAGCCAAGAAAAATAAACACCTGATGTCTATATTGGTACAGGTAGAACAATTCGTCCTGTCTGGGGCATGACTTGCTATAGTACTTACTATTATATATTCTCCGAACTCCGCTGTGGAACGGAACTTCAGAGCGAGAGACAACAAGTGCTACTGTTCGACAACTTATGCACACCCCTGTAAATATTGAGCTTGACCCGATCAGTTTGCCCGTGCTAGTAGGTAATCCAACGTTACACCTATTAGGCCATGACCATAAGCCCATGCATGCACATGGTTGGCTGTTACACAGCGAGGGACGGGCGAGACTTCAATTGAATAAGGTTCGGTAGTCCAACTGCATACTAATCTTTATTGAAACTGATCCAATCAGTCGCCATCACTAGTCTCACCACAAATACAACAATGTTCCTAAGGGGGTATAGCTTCGCTCTACCTGCCTCCAGAAGCAGCCACTCGATCCTGAGGCGGGGTATCGGGATTTCCCCAGGCTTAGCATTATGATTTCCTACACTAAATGCAATGAAACGAGCAAATTCAGTAAGATGGCGTTATGATCATTAGAACATCAAACTTAAATATGATAATTTCACTTCCTACGCCTCAAACCCAATTCCCGGCCCATGGTGCGGAGACCTCAACGCACGGTCATATTCTCTGTCAGAGCGGAAATCGTCCCGGGCGATCTGCTCCTCGTTGGGGTGGGGGTGCGTATGCTTGTTCTGAGGGGGGTGAGAGCGGTGGGTGTGCTCGTGGCCTGGTCCTACGTGTCAGTCCCCAATGTCTAGCATGATGTTAGATGATAGAAGCAGGAAATGGCAAACGAACCTTCACGACCGATGGTGGGAGGATGCTCATGTGCATCTTCGTGCTTGTGCTCGGCCTTGTCCTTGTGGTGGTGAAGATGGAGAGCGTCTTCGGCCTTGTGGATGAAACCCGACATGATTGATGGTGGATGAGTGTATTTCCGGATGTGAAGTCTGTGTTTAACTCGAGGATGAAAATCGGGAAGGAAAATGCTTCTCTCCTTCGAGGAAACTGGAAAGCCTTATAAAGGAAACAGGAGATAAAATGACGTCGAATTAGGTGATTGCGTGGCTAAGCGTGGCATCCAAGATGGGCTGATTTGATAACTTCCAGTTTCCTTCCTATGCATGCATGGCTGGAGCTAGTTTGACGTCATCGCGGAGATGGACGGGCTGATTGGAGCAACATCGACTGGGATGTAGATCACTAGATAAGCCTTGTCTGGCGACTCGGAACGAGCGGCACGTCTCCATGCAATTTTTACTATGAAATGCATGTGAGTTTCATTTATGAGAAATAGGTTATAATATGTTTAGGGTTACTGTGATCGGGGCTGAACGGGTGTACTGTCCGAGGCGTGGAAGCATGCTGAGCCATATCCATCACATGAAGGGTCATTGGACTCTAGCTTGGATTACATATCCATCCACGGAGACGACTTGGTTATGGAAGTTTAAATCTCACGGTCGCAGACTATTGTAAGGCTGGTGTTGAAGTAGACAGGAACATAATGTCTTACCGAATACGGAAACCCGAGCGATCTAGAGGTCACCCCGCGCCCATGAGATTTTCATATGCCCTACTTTAGAAGCTCTCTCAAATGCAGATATGTAACAGGATATGGCATCCGAGGTGGTGACATTGTGCATTCTAGACGACGGACAAATATCATCCCTGAGGATTGACACAGCCTTGAAAACATCTTCAGTCTGTTATTGGCCAAGTAACGAAACAAGCACATCCAGTTTCTCTCAAACTACAGAAGCGGAATTAAATAGACTAAGCCATGTGTCTGGTATCTGTTGAATGACTACACACCGTCCGCAGTGTTGCGCACGGTTATCGCAGTGCTTCCATACTTTCCCGGCTCATTACCTCGGGATATAACCGGCTCTTCTTCGAGTAAACTAGTAGCACGTGTTCTTCCAATAATTCCTCTAGCGGTGTCCCTTTTTTCGAGGTAAGCGATAAGACCAATAACTGGGAGAGTTAACATCCCCGTCACCAAGCTCGCAATATACCCTTTCCTGAAGTTGGGCGCATCGGTTACTGGATAGAAGACCAACGGCCACCAGGTCACAAAAGCAAAGTCGAAGGAGTTCATGAATCCAGTTGTGATGGCACGCAGCTGGAGATCATGGCCTGTAACGTCGGCCATCCAAGAATACCAGACAGCCTGAGGAGCGTATGTTGTTCCGAGTAAGTAGAAGGCAACAAAGTAGCCAGCGTCCGTGGAAGGGGTCGAGACAAGGATAGCCGAGCCGATGACAAAAGTCAGACCGATGGCGATAGAGACCTCCCATCGCGATTGTAGCTTGTCTGAAATCGCTGCATACACAACTATGCCCACAACGGCAGTTGCATGGATGACGGTAGGATAGGTGTTTTGCTGGACGACCGTGTACCCCCGTGAGGCTAGCCAGTAGGCCATGACGTTGTTTCCTAGCATTTGCACACAAACTGAATACACTAATTAATATTAGCTCAGTGACTTGAAGACAAATCTCTCCTGACCTACACATGAAAACAAACGGTAGGAGCCAAAATTGCCAGCTCAGGAACACGCGCTTGAAGACCGTGGTATCCCAGGACTTCTTGGAGATGGTACCCAGTCGAGTTGCCGCATGTTCCTTCTGCTCATTGGTGAGATACCAGGCCGCACGGTGTGCTGGAAGGTCCGGAATGAAGACCCAGCCTACGAACATGTCAGCATTCTCCTACTGAGACAAAGGACGAGCCATACCGAAGAGTGCCACCGGGATAGTCATCACTGAAACGATGATGAATATCCACTTCCATGCAGGCAGGCCACCTTTACCCGCCAGTGTCTCTAACAGACCGGCTTGAATCCAGCCACCGGACAGTGTCCCCAATTGGCCGAATACGCAGAATACCGCTGCGCGCATTCCGAGCTCAGACTTTTTGTACCACGAGGCTAGGATAAACTGTGCACCAACGCTATTCAAAGTTAGTGTCGGCCAGCTCAATCACATGCAAAGTAGATTAGGCATTTACTATGCGATGGCCGAGAACCCTCCTTCGATCGCATTCAACAAAATGACCTGCCAGGCCCGAGTCATCTTGTATGTGATTAAGGTCAAGACACTCCAAGTAACATTGGCAGTAACAAAGACATATTTCGGTCGCACCACTGTGAGAAGGCTTGTACCGGGCATTTGGCAGACAGCATAGACTACCAGGTACGCAGTGCTCATGTAGTTGTATTCTTTCCCCTCGAACCCGAGGGCCTCTCGCATACCGCTGATGTAGGCCGAGGAATAGCTAGACCGTGTCACACCAAAAAGGAACCAAATAAGGGAAAAATAAGGGAGCAGAGTAACATCCAGCTTGGAAAGCAGAGCCCGATCCTTTGGATCCTGACCCCAAAGCCAGGTCGCAAGTCTGGTCATGAAGGCCATGTTGACCAGCGCTTATTTAGCTGAGGCGAATCGATACTATCACTTGGAAGTAGTATGGCTATGCCTTATGCTAACATGAGCGTAATTATGAGACGATGAGACTTGCAAAGTGCCAGATATTCTGCCGCTTATCGCACAGGCGTCAGCTAGGAGATATCCCCAATGCCCCGACAGCAGAAGCACCAGAAACCAGAATGAAGCCTTATCTTGCAGAAACAAGAGATACTTGATGAGTTAACAGGCTAGATCTCGGCGATGGTGAAAGACCGCCTGTGAATGGTGAGATCTCCTGCCGATAAGCAAAAGAAGGATGATGTGATCGTCGGTGAGGGGCAAAAGAAATCCTGCAGTCGGCCCGCGTGACTTTAGTGAGTGTCTTTGAGGCTCCAAGGCCACGAAAAATGTCATTCAGTACAGGTATATCCCTGGATACAGATGGGTTATCATTGCACCTAATACTTCTGTGACTGATACACATTAAAGCTGTCGCTTTACGCATCAATCCATCGATATCGACATCCCTCAGTATAGGTACATACATATCTCCCATCCCATTCGAAGCACCCTAGCTTCTTCGCATGACCAACACAGAACATATTAAAACCGGCCAACTGAACCTCCCGTGCTAATTCTCTCACCATACAAAAACAAAGGCTGCTTGTTACTGAACTTTGAGATATCGCCCAGTACCTCGGCAGCTTCAGGGCCTTTGAATGCCTGCTTCGCTGCATTGTCGTCCTCATAGAAGAGCACACATCCGAAGGAGTAAGGAATTCGGTCTTCAGTGACACCCGGACCATACTTCACGACAGTCCAGCCATGTAATCCATATTTTCTCCAAAGTCGATCGACAAGAGGCAAATGATGCGAAAGATAGTACTCGAGGTCGTACTTTGCATCGGCTTCGTTGGGATAGAGGACGGTGACGGTATACACCATTGTTTCGATGGTTGGGTTGGCTAATGGTTCATTCGAGTGATGGTATAAATGGAGGCAGATGGTACGCAGGGTTGGTGGAGGAAGAGCACTTCACCGAACGCAAAAGAGGGCTCCATTGGCAAATTATAGGTATGTCCTTGTGAAATGGTTCAATTCGCAACCACTGACCTCAGAATGATCGATGTTTGAGTTCACTGATTTTAGCGTTATCAATTGGTAAAACTGTAAACTCTATACGGACAGAAGCTCGTGATGGGACCTACCCAGGGCCTGGACAAAAGCTGCCTTCTTGGTTCGACTTTCTTGGTTCCGTGGTCATTACTAATAAATGGGGTCCCTTCGCAAAGTATCTAGCAGCCCTAGTTCGTGTCCTAAATCGCCCAAAGATCCGAGATCCGAATGGAATACCATTCCAATAGATCATGCAATAGATTGCGTTGCAATGTTCCGCAATTGCGGCAACGACTATTCGCCGAAACGTTAAAGCCCGCAAAGTGTACCGGATATCATCATGTGTCTCAGTTATTACAGCCATTCAAATCGCAACAAAGCTTCGCCATAGCTTTGATTGATAAAGCCAGAAGAGATGACTATATTGAGTCTAATCTCGTGATAAAATTGTTTGACAACGCAAACGGATGAAGTCAGATGACTGCCTGTCAACCAAATAAACCTAAACCTTTGGAAGTCCGATTATACTGCGTGTGCAGACATGTTTGTAGCAAATTCTATTAAATGAAGATTCATTATGACTATCATCTATACTCGCTTGTATGGAAGTATATTGTACTGTTGGGCCATTGGGCTTGTTATCTGCCGTTCACCGTATCGAAACCTGGTTTTGCATATTTCTTGTTCTTGAATAGAAGTACTCATTCGTGCCTTCGAAGACATATAGAAATGCAAGAGACCATTGTACTAGTCACATATACCAAAGGGGAAGTAGGAAAGGTATTACCCAAACGATAGGAATTGTCTAAGCATTTATGTCTGACGAGATTACCATGATATCAGCCTTATTCGCATAAACCTCGGAAATGGCCTCCAAGTCCCTTATCTGTTGTTCATGATACCCGTTAGATCCTCTTTGTCAGTCCTTAACATACGGTCCCTGAGATCACAAGTCTTTGTATAGCCAATCGATTTTGCGAGCCTTTGTCTGCTTTTAAATCCATCATTGTATTCATGGTGTTCCTTGTAAAGGGCTCCAAGAAATCCAGCAAAGAATTATGGTAGAGGAACATTATGAAGCAGTAACAGTCTACCTCTAATACAAAAGAAAGCTATTTCTTTCTGGCAATAGGCGCAAAATAGTGTGTTAAGATGGTACATGCGACTACATGAGTAGTACGACCAATGTATCTACAGCCTAAACTTCCAATACCATAGAATAAGAAAAAATAAAAAAAAGCATAACAGGGGTGTTATGCAAACCTAGAGTTCTCCTCAGCTTACAACTAGCCGGAGTCCACCAATTACTTCGACTAAAAACACTACACCACAAAGGAACAAGGGACAAAAGACATTCTGCTTTGACTCCAGAATATAAAGTCTAAGATACTGAGGAGAAGATGAGTTAAATAGAAGAATATGACCACGAATTCGCTGAATAGATTTACCTTCGATGGTTACGTGTTATGTTCGATAGCGCTTTCTCCATTGCAAGCCGGGATATCTTCCACTCTGCTTCGCCCATCCGATCGCCACAACAAACACCAAGATGAATCCATTCGATGAGCTTCCATATGAGATTCTATCCATCATCATCACGGAAGCCGCGGACTGGGTGGCCCTCGAAAGCCTTTTGCAAGTCTCTTCGCGGGTACGAAGCCTCTTTGCGGGAGACGGCGAGACCCCCGGGAATCGTGAAGCCATTCATATAGTCAAATCCATGTTGAAAGCAAATTCAATGATGCATCACGACCTGCACGGCATGTTTTGCAAGTGTATCGCACTGCGCCAGTCCTCGTTAGCAGTTACTAGTCTCGAGCAGTTCAGGTCAGGGGACTATGATCAGTTGTCTGTGGTCTTCAAGTCATTCATATCGCAAGCTTCGCTACGGGAGATGGTACATGTCGCAGCTAACATCCAACGGCTTGCGTGCGCTTGTTTGACCACGTTCCTGAGCAGGATTCGGGGGGTTAAACCGATGTGCCACATGCGATATGGTGGTGATGAAGTACCATACGAGCCGCGCGAAGCAGGCCCTCCCTCGTGGATTGAAGAGTTTCGAGTCTATCGCGCGCTGTGGCATTTCCAGTTCTACTCTGACCTGCTGGGTGCGGCTGAACGACTGAAATTTCCCCAGGAAGATCTCGAACTCTTGCGGACGAAACCCCTCGTCTGGAATAATCCGTCAGAATCATTGCAGTCTGAACTACTTTCAGTAAATGAATGGCTGTGGGGTATGTTCTGTGAGAGAGAAGAGTCTTTTACCGATATTCCAGCGGTGAAGAGATTGCTCAGTAGCTATCCAGCATACGTGGATCCTCTCCCTGATCCTTCACAATTGCAGGACGAATATTCGGTCTGGACCCCTCCAGCTCTTCCTATAGACAAGGACCCAAACGACATTTGGCGCCAGGGATCCGGAATGGCGAAGAGAAGATGGGGGTCGACCGGACTTCATTCTTACTATGTGGATATTGACTTGTATCCATCAACACGTTGGCTCCACTTCTGTTACATTGATTCACCAATTCACCGCGAGATTGGTTTGACGATATGGGATAGATGGCGGTTATATTGCCTTGGCATCTGGTATGCCTCTGATCCTGATGAGTTCCGATGGGAATACCTAGGTCCAGATGGATCCCTTGTCCCACAGGGCTGCTTTCCAGAGGGTAGCATGCTCGAGGCTGCGTACCGGTTGTCCTTCTTTATCAAGCCCAGAGTGCGGGAAAGGGAAGAATTTTGTGAAAAATGGTCCAGGGAGAAACACGGTTTACTAGAGACAAGCAGAGCCGAGGAGACAGGCAAAGTCGAGAGGAGGATAAGGCGGAAACGCAAAGCATGCCAAATTGGTCTTGAATTGCCCCGACAAGTTCAAACCAGATATCAGCTTAGACCTCGCTAATTGGTTCAAAACAAAAATGTGTCTGATCTACATAAGACGACAAATCTAGTAAGGATAGAAACCATAGAAACCCTGATTCAATAGAATTGTTGTTTCTACATTGATCAACGTCCTATCACCTTTCCTATAACCCGGCGCATTCAAGTATGGCCAGTAGAGCACCTGAGATTGAGTGGGCATGCCCTTCAAAGAATTCCTCCTTACCATTCCAGATAGGCCAAATTCCATGTTGTGACCAAAGACATAGATTGTAAGTCAGGATGGCCAATGTTGTATTTTCGATCTCGGACAACCCAAGATTCGGGGCCACCGGCGAAGCAACACTGGGCGATCCGGGCTAAACGTATAGGAAAAGCATAGAATATTCATTGATCGCAATAGAAAGTCTAGTCAAGCTTCCCAGAAAATTACAGGTAACTCTGCACTGGACTACAAAATGCGATACTTCTACTCGAAAAGTTGAGAAAAATTGTTTCGAGCGGAACGGCCGTCGCAATTCCACCCAGCTCGGTGATTCCGGTGTCGATATCAGAAGCCTCATTAAGGTTGCTCATCGTGTTTTAGAGAACTACAATGTAAAATTGGATTTGATATCGGCCTGGAAGGTACGCGTGTGCAGAATCAGTGAGCAATACTTTCCAAATTTTAGTAGGTCGCCTGAGGCAAAGTGGAGGTATGGAAGGACTTCACAGCATAATTGGAGGGTTTCCTCAGCAGAGTACTTCGTAAAGCTTGGAAATAAAGCTATGCAATATTTTGGAAGTCTTGCCAGGGTTATTCACTCTGGCGAAGAAGGTAATCAAAGCACAGCCGCTTGCGAAGCTACAGAAAATATTCTCCTGAAGTAATGGCGGGGTTGGTTCAGCCGTGACAGCGCTCAGTACAGGAGTGGGTCTCTCTGAGGTGAAAAAGCAAATAACAATATAGATTTCATGAAACAAGGAAGAAATGAGAAGGAGAAGAGCCAAACCGTTGCCGAATGGGAGCTTCGAAGTCCGAGATATATTGCAATGAACGAAGCCAGCATTTATGTCTACATTAGTTTAGTGGTGCAACAGAATACCTTTTTCCTTCTGTTCCCATATAATCCACCCAGTTATATACAGCTTTATTATAAACATTAGATCCAAGTCACTCACGAGCAATCAAGTTCCGGTACAAAGTGAGACTGATAGTTGCCCTATTAGGCGAGTTCCGGGGTTAAGGCTTTTGACACTGACATATCTCGCCTCTCATGAGAGTATCGCGAATTGTATTCCACAATCGCCTACATGTTTCGGGTATTCACGATCCGGGACAATGAAACAGATCAAGCCCTCCGCGATAGATGCCCAAGCTTCTTTATTTCTAATTTCATTTGGCTACATCCTCCTGGAAAGAAGGGTGTCCCCGTTCAAAAGTCGGGGTTTTTAACTAATGCAGATAACCATGTTCACATGAATTCCTCCTATGCCATGGAGATAAGTGTATACTATCATGCTCTATTTTCACTGTAGTAAGTTCTACCACTTTGGCTTGTAATAGCTTCCCTATCAGATAATAATCGCTTTTTCTTCCCTATCAGGGCTTGGCCTTGCCAGAACGCTTCCAAACCACCCCAAAAAGATCCCTATCATCACTATCATACAAACCGCTGTACCTGTGTCAGATCAGCACACATCATGTCGGTCGTTGGTCCCAATGCCAAGTCTCACAAAGACCTAATCAAGTGCCTGGAGAAGAAACAGGCTATCATGGAACGACTGGCGGCAATCAAAGAAAGAGTGACAAACCTACCGCTGAGCTGCTTGAGTGAAGAATTTCAGGAGCATATCGGTATCGTGCTTACATATTATGACCTTAGGGACCATTTCGGTACCAGCGACAAAGTGTACTTTATACCATACGCAGGGCGCCTCTTCCCCACCATTCCGTGGGACGAGGCAAAGCTATTTGACTTTGATCCCAGCCCACGAAGAGAGACATATCACATCCATAGAAATTTGGACAAAATACTGGCCTATCTTACGCCGATTAAGGAAATATGGACAGAGCGGAAGTAAGTAGAGAGATACATAGACATTCTGAGTTTGAAGGATACGTCCTGACTGAAGCACTGTTGTGTCCGGTACTAGGTTCTTCGGGGACAACGTGCAGGTTGGAGAGGACTTCCACGATGTCTACCACTGGTATGTCGTCAAGGAAGCCGATGCACAGAAAAATCCGGAGAAAACACATTGTACTCTCAGGGTCTTGCAGTACACGGAGCCAGAGGAACTTCTCATGCGGAGTGAGGTCCTTAGCGCTTTGACATACATGATGCACAAACTGACGTACAAGTGCTACAAAGATCAAACCATCTTTCCAGTAAGTGGTTCAAATGAGTTTAGCCTATTGCGACAGTCACTTATTGGGTAACTTGTCATAGGTTCTCATTACTTCGATCTTCCCATCAAAAGTCCGTATCTTACAGGTATATTTCGATGGGGAAGATCTCCATTTTTCCAAGACTCATATCTACGATCTTAAAGAAACTAATCATCAAACGTATACTCTTCTTGCTCGGTGGGCGTATCCTATTCCGTGCGGAGACCTCAAAGCCGTCAATATTAGGGGAAAGAAACTAAGCACTGCTGTAATGGAGCAGGTGGAGGACTGGAAGGAGGAGCAAGAAGCTATGAATATGGACGATTCGCCCGATAAGTAACATTTTTATTTGACCGTTTCGAGGAAATCATTGCACTCAACGTTTTGTGTTGCTGTTTCACTTTAATCCATCCACAGTTTGCGGGACAAAGCCGCTAGTTGTCTGGAAAATTTCTTTCAATTTCAATTTATTGACGGTGCTGACGGTTCATAGCCTGCAATAGGCGTATGTTGCATGAGTATGATGATACTATATCGGAGTACTCTGTTCAACCTTAGCACGGCCCCAATTTACGCGATGTAGAAAGATAGCCAATCCCCGCAGAAAACCGATGCTATCGAGGCACAAGCATTCTATTCCAAAATAAGTACAATCGCACCCAATAAATTACACACCCCGAAGCATAAAGCCCTTTCATCCACCTCAGTTCAACCCAGCCTCCGTCTCCGGTACCGCAAGATACCGATGAAACTGCCCCCTAGTATCATACCCCCCTTTCAGGCTCGTAAGACGTTCTTACATCCTACTCGAAGACCTGCATCCCTCAAAACAAATGCTTTTTCGGGTGAAGCATATTCCTTGGCTCACAAACTATAACGGATGTAAAGTTAATTCCACTTTAAGTCCGATGACGGCCGTGCGGAGTAAGCCCTCGATCTCCGAAGCCCTCGAGGCTATATCGCCCACTCGCCAATTTACCTACTGACTAACCTTTTCTATGGAATAACATATAATCAATTTATTCATACACTCACTTCTCTCCAATAGCCTGAATTCTCACAACACCTAGTATCTTATCCACACACCCACACACAATGCCACTCCCCAAACCTCTCCCTATCACCGGCTTCGGCCTCCTAGGCATGACATGGCGCCCCAGCCCAACCCCAGACGAGCAAGCCTTCAGCGCTATGAAAGTAGCCATCTCCCACGGCGCCACCATCTGGTCATCCTCCTCCGTCTACGGCATGCCCCCTCAGCCTCCCACAGCAGGCCTCCAGCTCCTACGCCGCTACTTCGACAAGTACCCTGAAGACGCCGAAAAAGTGACTCTCTTCATCCGAGCCTGCTTAGACCCGGAAACCTTATCCCCAACATGCACACGCGCAGGCGTCCGTGCCAGCTTTGATGAGTGTAGAAATGTCCTGGGCGACTCCAAAAAGATAGATATCTTTGGGCCAGCGCGCATGGATAAGAACGTGCCTGTGGAGGAAACGCTAGGGGCGTTGCGTGAGTTGATGGACGAAGAATTGATCGGTGGGGTTGGGTTGTCGGAGGTGGGTGCACATACCATTCGCAAGGCGCACGCGATGTGCCCGTTGAGTGTGGTCGAGGTGGAGTTTTCGTTGTGGAGTACGGATATCTTGGAGAATGGAGTCACAGAGGCTTGTAAGGAGCTGGATGTCCCCATTCTGACGTATGCGCCGCTCGGGTATGGGTTTCTTACGGGGCAGGTAAAAAAGTTAGAGGATATCCCGAAGGGGGATATTAGGCATTGGTTTGGGAGGTTTCAGCCGGAGGTTTGTTTATCACCTTTCTCCAAGTTATACTTTTGTCATTTGTTCTGCTGGTGCTTGAGCGAATATGAGTTTGATTGTACTGACTGACCTTTGTGAAGAACTTCCCCAAGAACCTAGAACTGGTGGACAGAATCAATGACTTCGCCAGGCAGCGCGGCGTCACTCCCGCCCAGTTAGCCCTCGCCTGGATCCGCGCTCACTCTAACTCTGGGCCCTACGGAACTATCATCCCCATCCCTGGCGCGACAGCAGCTTCTCGTGTCGAAGAGAACTGCACGACGGTTCCGCTGGCAGCTGAGGAGAAAGAGCAGCTGGATGCGATTCTGAAGTCGTTTGATGTTGTAGGGGAGCGACAGGTCGTGGGGATGAGCTCTGAGTTGTGGGGTTGACCCTGTGTCAGTTCATCAACCCATTGTTATGGTCATGTTAGCAAGTCGTCTTGGCTGGTAACGCGTTGATGTATATATAAGTACACCGATTTCATTTAGACTAGCAATCTGGCATTCTAACTAACTACCCAATTCTATCCCCAATTCTATCCGATCTATCCTGAAAATGGCGCGCCATGAACCATGAAGCAAACCCCTAACCTACAGATCCAATGCAATGTACACGACGCGAATTGTAATCAGGAACTTTTCAAACCCAGTACATCTCTAATTGTTCTTCCGCTTCCGATCCATTTCGCTCAACTTCTTCATACCACGCGTGATCTCCACTGCACTTTCGTACGCAAAATCTGCAATATAATTAGCAATCTCAAATCCCACTCAGCAAGACATAGATAATCTCACAAGTACCAGCAGCAAGCCAGATGAAGTTCATAAAGACATAATAGAACCAGAAATAGTAGCCTTCAGGACGACAAAAGGACACTCCATGGTAATATAGGTCGAACATGCTCGTAGCGTAGTAGAGTACATCTCCGTAGACCTGGCCTACGGAGACAATGATCTGCAGGACATGTCTTGCCGGGTGCTGCGTGGCGATGCAGTATGCGATAGTAAATGCGAGAGGGCCCCAGCAGAACTGTATGTATTCGTTAGAGGTGAGTTGATTCGGTGTCATGATATGGGATAGACTTACAGCGGTGACAGCCTCCATGGAAACGAGGAATGAATCAGAGGTCAGATAGCGAGAGTCAGAAAGGGAATATTCCTTCCAGAGCTGGCCGAATAAAGTGTGCGAGCCGGCTAGGGTCTTGTGGTAGACCACGAAGTAACTTTCGAAGAATAGATGTATGCATCCCGCTGTTTCTCCTCATTAACGTATATTCCAAACAAAAGCGAAGACAACACCACTTACTAAAGCACATCCAAATGAACGCAAACTGGTCTTCTCGAGTCACCGAGTTTCGAGGACGGCAAATGTAGGCAGATGCGATACCCAGCACCAAGGCCCAGAGCACAGCAAATTGAGCAACCAGTGATAAAGCCGAACTCCCGTTGGCTACATAATGCGGTAGATATACCGAAGACGGATAGTAACTGTGAATGACATCTGTAATATTATTCATTTTGCTTGAGTCTTTGTAGTGATGTCTGCAGCCATTAGCAGTTCACACAGATGGCTTTATACTATGAAGCCTATAATGTGTGTACGGGCGGAACGCGCGGACTCCGAGGATCGGCTCGGGATCTCCGCCTGTTCGCTGACACCACTCTACGAACTACTACCCCTATCCCTTACACGCTATTGCTAATACCTTGCATGCTGAGTGGAGTAGCCTTGGATTACTGGCTTGGTTTGTTCAGGTACCGTTAGCCAAGAATAGAATTAAACTCAATCCATGGTTGGAGCTAGCTGCAGCATTAGGCGACCCATGACGGATTCAGCTATTTGCAAGTGCTAACTCTGCGTGTACACATTAGCTAGAAATTTGTCTTGCTGAAATACGACGGGAAGTACAGTTATCCCGGGTTTCTTCTCATCAGAGAAGAAAACAGTTGTTACAGTGATTCCAGAATATGAACTTGATGACCCTGATGGGCTTACTTCTCATACTATAAAAAAGGACGGCGCAGATAATGACGGGTTGTACTTAGACCAGGCTGTTAGCTTATGAACAATACACTCTGGCTTACTCGATCTTTACATAATTACAGCGTACTATTCTTTAGTGATTTTACATTCTTCTGCTCGACTACATACGTGCCGCTAATGTCAGTGCCCAGAGCCCCAGATATACTTGTCACAGACAGCCCTATCAAGATACTTTGAAAGCCCGAAACATCAACACTATCCCTTCAACCATTTGACTCAATTTAAATTTCTCAACAGTCAAATAATACCCGAAATTCCACAATAAAATCCACATAAGGAGAGTCATATTCCAACCCCAACCCCCATCCCACTCAAAATAGCCATCTACTTACTCCCCACCCTACAAAGTCAACTCCAAACTGACCATGGAAGGACCGAGTGCAACATTCGCCTCAAAATATCACACGACTACCAGTCTTTCTCGTCCCAAATCAAACAGGACAGTCCCGCTTATCGTGTCCTTTGCCATTACATTTGGCACATCTCTGCATAGGACAGTATCTCATAGAATGACCGACACAATCACATCTCATGCAGCGTGGAATGGGGCACTGCATTATTGAGTGGCCTTGCTGGTGGCATGCTGAGCAGGTTGTTGGGGGGAAGGTGTATACTCTGTCTGGCATTTTGGTATAGTTTAGTGTTGATGTTAGGGTGGTTGGGTGGTCTGATGTGTTTGGGGATTATGAACAGGTGATGTCTGATGGATGAGACGAGACAGTGACGAGGAGTAGATTATGAGATGAGTTCTCTGGTTGTGAGGATATGAAGTGGATGAGGATGAAGAGAGAATATTAATAGTGTTCTGGTGAGCACTCATGGAGTTCAGTGTATACAGTGTAAGAGGGATTTAGTTACTTGTTTTAGTTGTTCTTTCTCAGTAACTGTTGACTTAGTATGACTCCGTGATACACTGGATGCTTTAGGAAAATGACAGGAAACAGTTGAATGGAGCCCCTCAAGTACCCCAAGTAGAAGTACATTGTTCATCCTCCGTGACATATTGACTTGGTATGACTACGTGATACACTGATCATTTAGGAAATTGACAGGGAACAGCTGAGTAGACTACCCTAAGTAGGAGCAAGTAATACTGCTGCAGAGAACCTAATAACTTGGCTAACTATTTACCAGGATGCCATCGGGTAAGAGCCGATGAACCCATGACCCAGAGAGTTAGGGTGTGGGGGGAAAGTTTGGACGGTCTGGGACAATGCACACTGTAAGTCAAGGGTGGTACCGGCAATGCACAGCCAGCGGCTCCCGCACCCACCGATTGATGTCATGCTTTTCCGTATAGAGTGTCAACTCAATTAGAATAGTTGATCGAAGAGGAGAAAAGATTAATGTCCTGGTTGATGATGTATGCGCAACAATTGTGTGACCCGGTGGCAGAGGCAAAAAGCCGTTAAGCCACACAAGCGCGTGTGGGGCTGCAGATCACCCCGACCGGCGACCGGCCTATCTAATTTCTGGGGCGTCTGCTTCTAGACTATTAGTTACTTTTTAATCGCCCCCAGTCGGCCCTCGGTTATAGTATGTCCGAGCAGCAAGGAGATGTGGCTGCAAGGTGTTATGTGTCAGTTGTATGCTCGAAGATCACCTTTAATGACTTAAAGGAGTCGCGGTGAGTGTCTTCCGGAAAAGTTTTACGATCCTCCATGGCAAGCCCAACCCCATTTACTGGAGAGTCGGAATAATCCCCGGCAAGCCTCAGGGGTACCGCAAATTGTTGATGTAAGTTACTGAAGCCTCGGCCCATCCCCCCTCAACCATAGAAGCTTTCCCCGCACATCGCTGGTAGCTTTTGGAGTTCACCGGTAACTTATATACGGCTCCCCCACGCCGATCGTGACTTCTCCCCCATTATTTCTTCCTCTATTCACCCGTCCTTGATCACTCACCCATTTGCGCCTTGTCCCGCGAAATCCGTCCCAGAATATACCCACGTTCCTACAGAGAGCTGAGAACCTCACACCCCACGACACGATGGTTTTTCTACCTCCTAAGGAGGCAGGCACTTTGCCGCCTATCCCGGACAATATTCCGCTCAGTGAATTCATGCTTACAGACTTGTATGGGCGGAATCCCCTGGGTTACTCACGGGACCCTTTCACTTGCGGCATTACCGGGAAAAGCTTCTCCGCACTAGAAGTGGTGGATCGTGTCGATTACCTGTCTCGCGCTCTGTCCAAGGAGCTAAACTGGAAGCCAAACACAGGCACCGAATGGGATAAGACGTTAGCAATCTTCAGTTTGAACACCGTGAGTTTCAAGCCCCAGGCCGCTACAGCGTCTTAGCTCACCAGTTCCCTTCCTAGATCGATACCTTGCCACTGTCATGGGCCGTCCACCAGCTGGGGGGACTGGTCTCCCCGGCTAACGCAGCCTACTCAGCTGCTGAACTCAAGTATCAGCTGCTCGATTCCAAGGCTAAGGCTTTGTTCACCTGTCTCCCTCTCCTACAGACCGCTCTCGAGGCTGCATCCCTGGCTGGGTTGCCCAAGGATCGCATATACCTGTTGGAAGTCCCACCACAACTCACCCCCGGAGTCAAGGCTCCAGCGCAATTCAAGACAGTCTCGCAGTTCATTGAAGAGGGGAAGTCGCTCCCCAAGGTCGAGAGACTGAACTGGGCCGCCGGAGAGGGTTCTCGGCGGACGGCCTTCCTATGCTATTCCAGTGGGACATCCGGGTTGCCTGTGAGTCAGAACATGCAGGAAATTTAATGTGACAGATCGCATCTGACCTGCATACTAGAAAGGTGTCATGATCTCTCATCGCAATGTAATCGCAAACGTGCTTCAGATCCAAGCATTCGAGGGCACTTGGCGCGACTCCCTCAGGGCTCCCGGAACCCAAGGCAACCACACCGAGGTGGCATTGTGTCTGCTTCCTCAGAGTCACATCTATTGCCTGGTGGTCATATGCCATGCTTCTCCATTCAGAGGCGACCAGGCCGTTGTTTTACCAAAGTTCGAATTGGATCTATATCTAGCTTCCATCCAGAACTTCAAGATCTCGTCACTGTTCCTGGTCAGTAATTCTGCTCACATGAAAGCACTATTCCGCGATGGGTCTAATTGAGTAACTCTAAAGGTCCCTCCGATTATCATCAACATGCTCCGCAACCACGAAACTTGCGCGAAATACAACCTAGGCTCAATCAGGAGTATTTTCACTGGTGCTGCGCCCTTGGGTGTGGAAACAGCAGAAGACTTTCAGAAACTATACCCGAATGTAATAATTCGGCAAGGATATGGTACGCATTACTCCAAGACAACTAGTGTCTCACACTGACATGAACGCGCAGGTCTGACTGAGACATCAACTGTGGTGTGCTCGACTCACCCAACTGACGTTTACCTCGGTTCATCTGGCACCCTCCTTGCTGGGGTTGAAATGCGCATTGTGACCCCGGAGGGGCAGGAGATCACAAGCTACGACACACCCGGTGAACTGGTAGTCCGCAGCCCAAGTGTCGTCCTGGGTTACCTGAATAATGAGAAGGCGAACCGGGAGACCTTTGAGGACGGGTGGATGCGAACCGGTGACGAGGCCGTAGTCCGCGTGGGCCCGAAGAAGACGGAGCATATATTCATTGTCGACCGTATAAAGGAGCTTATTAAGGTCAAGGTATGTCTTCACTGATTCGTATTCCTATTGGAACTTCGCCAAGTAACCGATCGAAACGAACAGGGATTACAAGTGGCTCCAGCTGAATTGGAGGCTCACCTTCTTACCCACCCCGCTGTTTCTGATTGTGCTGTCATCGCCATCCCCGACGATAGGGCTGGGGAAATCCCCAAGGCCATCGTGGTCAAGTCACCTTCTTTCCGTGGCAGTGACGAGGAGGCTATCCAATCCATCAAGAAGCATGTTGAAGAACACAAAGCCCGACACAAGTGGCTCAAAGGCGGCGTTCGCTTCATCGATGCCATTCCCAAGAGTCCTAGTGGTAAGATCCTGCGTCGGATGCTTCGCGATCAAGAGAAGGAGGCAAGGAGAAAGGCTAGTTCCAAGCTGTAGGCATGCTTATACTTTGGCATAATGTGCGAGCGGTACGCTGCAGAAGATTTGGTCCCAGCGCGTTCCCTCCTATGGATATAAATATCTCATATAATAGATAAGATCTCATTTACCAGAATGTCCTTTAGATAAGATACAAATAGTAGGTGGGATGCTTTATGGTTAGTACTTAGTGACCCCCTTCAGCGGATGTTTGCTGTGTTTGCATTCATCGCGGGGAAAGAATCGAATTTCTAAGCGGGGGTTGATCGGGAAGATTGATCAGCACCGAAAAAAAATAATACTCATCTTCTTCGGACGTCGCCCTCTGTCGTTCTTGCACATTTCTCTTGAATATTTATAATCGGACGGTCGCAAGCTGTTCCTCACCTGAAACTTCCTCTCTAACACTTCCACCACCAAAAATAACACATCCCCTGCGTTCGGTGCAACCCCGCAGTTCATATTTACATCACCATGTCGTCGCAAGATCCTCACCGCGCCGACGACGACGCCTACGTTGATGCCGATGAAGCTGATGAGGTTATCAACCGCGATGAGGACCACCCCATGGAGTCCGATGGCGAAGATGAGGATGGCGATCAGCCCATGAGCTACGAAGAACAAGAAATCACCCTGCAGAATGACTCCGCCGCCCATTTCGATAGCCACAACGACTCCGTTTTCTGCATTGCTCAGCACCCCATCCACAACAACATTGTTATCACTGGCTCCGGAGACGATACCGCTTATATCTTCGATTCGACGCCGAACGAGGAGCGCCCCGTCCTTCCCCGCAGCTACGAGTCAGACCCGCAACCCAGGCGCGAGCGGGATTCTCTCCAGCCCCTCCTCAAGCTTGATGGCCACTCCGACACTGTGAACGCCGTCGCCTTCACAGAACCCAAGGGCGAGTTCGTTATCACGGCAGGAATGGACGGCAAGCTGCGTGCTTACCGCGACACTACCCACCAGGGAACCGGGCTCGCATGGCAGTTCCTCGCGGAGGTTCAAGAAGTGGAGGAGATCAATTGGGTTGCTGTCTGCCCTTGCGAGAAGGGCAACGAGGAGAAGAGCAACATCATTGCTCTGGGTGCCAACGACGGTAGCGCTTGGGTGTTCCGCATCGACCCCCGGGACGCCGCTGCCCCCATCTCCATCATCCAGTCTTTCTTCCAACACACCGGATCCTGCACTGCGGGTGCCTGGACTCCCGATGGAAAGCTGCTGGCGACCGTCTCCGAGGACGGTAGCTTCTACGTTTACGATGTCTTTGGCGACGCTGCCGCCGCTGGCGTCTCTTACTCCCCGGGTACTAGCGCTGTCGTTGGTCTGACTGCGGAGGACCAGCGCTTCGCCGTCGAGGGTGGTCTGTACTCTATCGCCATCTCCCCGGGTGGTGCTATTGCTGCTGTTGGTGGTGCCGAGGGCAACATTAAGGTGGTCGGTCTTCCCCGTCTGGCGCCGGCTGGCGGCGCTGCTTCCAAGGCGAAGGGCAAGGGCGCTGCTTCACAGGCGACTGCCTCCGCTGCAGGCACTCTCCTTGCCTCTCTTCAGGCCCAGAGCGACGGTGTTGAAACTCTCTCTTTCTCTTCCCCTCCCCTGACTCTTCTTGCGGCTGGCTCCGTGGATGGCTCGATCGCCCTGTTCGACGCTGCCCATCGCTTTGCCGTCCGCCGTCACATCAAGGAGGCGCACGAGGGCGCCGTGGTTAAGGTTGAGTTCCTGCAGAGCCGTGCTCCTGCCACCCCCTTGCCTCGTCCCAGCCCGCTGGCAGCCGCGACGGCCGGTCAAGGCCAACCGTGGCTGCTCACCTCCGTGGGTATGGATGGTATCGTCAGACGCTGGGATGCCCGTGGAGGAACTGCGGCTGCTGCCCAGGGTTTGTTGAAGGAATGGAAGGGCCACTTGGGTCTTGTTGAGAACTCGGAGGGTGAACAATCCGGCGGTATCATGGCCTTTGTGCAGAGCTCGGATGGTAAGCGGGTTGTTACCGCCGGTGATGACGGTATTTCTCTGGTATTTGAGGAGTAAATTTTTCATGATGATTAGACCAAAAAGCCTGTATAGATGCGGATTTCCGAGATATCGGCGTATTAATGCAATTTATGACCATGTTCAGTTCCAATTCGATCAACAGTTGTCTGCCTGGCATAATGATTTATGGCAGTACTATTACTGGTAGTTCATAGTTTAGTTAATCGCTATGCTGAGTAATGTCGAATACCTACACAGCCTAACTTTCATAAGGTTTGAACAAAATGCACTTGATGTGATAAATAACAGTTACTATGTACACCCGACAAATGAAACAACCCAAGCGCCGTCTGTAGAGAGCTAAGGGTCATTCATGATACTGAGACAAGAATATCTATCCCAATTGAATCGACAATCCCTTCTCCCGCTTATACACCACACATTGTGACCCTCTAATCACGTACGGATGCCATTGATCTCGGCACACCGGGGTATCCTTCATCTTTTTTCCATCGCATGTCGGCTTCTTTCTTCCAACTCCGCACTTATGCTCCCCTTGATCGTGATTTAGTGGTGGCCCTCGCCGTGGTGGTGGTGGTCATCCTTCAGGAAGAAGTGCTCGTAGGCGCAGTAACCGGCGAAAGCAACGCTGGCAATGCCGAAGCCAGGGAAGATGCGCTTGAAACGGTTGATGCGGCTGAAGGGACCGGTGTATCTCCAGGCCTCGCTGGGGTAAATAGTCAGTACAACACGTAAATCTTGAATCGGCGGTGGATGTATCGTACTAGCGAGCCCAGGGGTCCTTCTTGGCCCAGGCCGACCGGGGGTGGGCGGCGGCCTTGAATTCGTTGATGTCAAATCCGGTGGGGTTGGGAGCCATGGTGAGCGGATTGGCGATGGATGAAGGTGTGAGTTGGAGGTGAGTTAGACGGCGGGTCGAAGATTCAGGGAAATGAGACCGAGATCCGCAGGGTCCGGACAGACAATGGACGGGAAACCGGGGGTGGTAGCGCGAGAATAAGGACAGGCGGAAACAGGAAGTTGAAGCTGTACGGAAACGAGGGAGTTCGAGCGAGGACTGGGGGCTTGGCGCACTAGTCCGGATCCAGCAACCGCAGCTGTCCGCCTTCTTCGCCGGCGAGGATGAGCCCGTCCGTCCCAGAGCCCAGCGCGAAAAGAGCCGACCGACCCCCCTCCCACTTCGCTTCAACTCATCGTTCATCCCAATCTCAGATGCGTGACGGTTGATCAGCTCTCTCATCGCTGCCTTTCAACATGCCCCCTCCCGTCGGCCGATACGGGCCTACTGGCCTAACGGCTTCCTATACCCACCTACAGCAAGCCCATCTCCAGCAACAGCAGCAAGCCCAACATCACCCGGCCCATGCCCAGTCGGCCAACTCAGCCCTCCCTCCTCCATCTCTCGGTGGTCACCCCGGTTTTGCCGCCGGAAACCCGAACACAAATATCAATCCGTTTACACTGTCCGGCACCGGTATCGCAAATGGTATGTCCGTCGCAGGGTTCGCGAGTGCCGGGGATGGAGGCGGCACCGGACTCGCCAGCCACGCCGCCCAGATGGGCTTCGCACGAGGCGCGCAGATGCAACAGCAGCAATTACATCAGACTCACGATGGCCGACTGGCGCTCGAGGCCAAGGCCGGTGCGGTGAAGACGCGGATACGTGATGTATGGAGCCACAATCTGGCTCAGGAAATGGCCATCCTGCGACAGTTCGTCGAGAAGTATCCCTACATCAGCATGGTAAGATGCAGCTAGCTGTGGAGCTGGGAAATTATGAAGTTGCTCGGCTCCTTTTACTGGGAGATGAGGGACGCTAACCTAGGCCCAGGACACCGAGTTCCCCGGTATCGTCGCACGTCCAATGGGAGCGTTCACGAATAAAGCAGATTACCACTACCAAACTCTCCGGTGTAACGTCGATCTCCTGAAAATGATCCAGCTCGGTATTACCTTGTTTTCTGCCGAAGGCGAGGTACCCCCGCCCAACGCTACGGATGCGAATGGACAGCCTCTCGGAAACAGCCTCGTCCCTGCGCCGTGCACATGGCAATTCAACTTCCGGTTTTCGTTGGAGGAAGATATGTACGCACAAGAGTCGACGGCTATGCTGGCTAAGGCGGGTATCGATTTCTCTATGCATGAGAAAAACGGAATCGACCCATTCGAGTTTGGTGCTCTTCTGATCAGCTCGGGGCTCGTCCTTCTGGAAGATGTCCATTGGGTCTCTTTCCATTCCGGCTATGATTTCGGATACCTCATGAAGATTATGCTCTGCAAACCTCTTCCCGAGAATGAAGAGGAATTCCACAAACTCCTCAAGATCTTCTTCCCGTCGCTGTATGATATCAAATATTTGATGAAACATGCAGGACGCAATCAGGCTGTAAACGACTCTCCGTTAACGCCAGCCGCTGCTCAAATCCTCACTAATCTCGGACAGAAGTCGGGTCTGCAAGACATTGCGGATGAGCTCGGTGTCAAGCGCGTCGGCATCGCTCATCAGGCAGGGTCGGACTCTCTCGTGACGGGTGAGATCTACTGGAAGATGCGCCAACTCGTCTTCAACGGCAGCATCGACGAGTCGAAATACTCGGGTCAGATTTGGGGCCTGAACGGTCAGATGCCGGCTTTGCTGTACCACATGCAGCCACATCAGACTCCCAATCTCAACGGCGCCACAATTTACTCGGCTACCGGCACGCCAAGCACCCCCAATGCCGGTCACCTGGGCAGCCAAACACCCCATACGATGACACCTGGTGCCACTGGCGGCGTCCTGGGGCAATTCCAGCTTGCCAAGTCATGAGGCTCGTCGGTTCGTCTGGCTGTCTTGGTATTATCTCCTTTCAATATTTGGTGTTAGATCAGGTTCGGGGAGTTCGAGATATTGTCTACGTTTAGGTACATTTTCCCTGACTCTTTGCTCTCTTGCTTGTATAGGCTCCTACTCCTGACTGGTTGGATCTGGCAACAGCACCCGGATCCACGGTCACTTTTCTCCATTGAACCTTAGCCGGCGGTTCTGATTACTTTTTCACCTGTTTGTCATGTTGCTTTCGGCAGAGATGGCAAGGAATCTATATGATGTGATGGATGTACATAGCATGTGGCATCGGTTGTGTTTCTTGGTGCATTGTCTTGTTTGCTAGTGTTTTCTGTTGTTTTCGGTCCGTTTCAAGGAGTTCATCGCCTGCAGTGCCTTCGTATTGCCTTGGAGGTGGGTGTTTGCAATAGGTGTATGGTGTTCGTCTCCGGCTGGAATGTGATCTACGTCAAGCATTATTTCGTTAAGCGTCCGGGGTTTGCTACTCCATTCCTTTCTATCCTCGTAGGTAGAACTGGTTGGGAATCTACTTTGCCTCTATGATAGACATGTTAATAATTAGCATTATTAAACTATCTTGTCAGTAGCTCAGACCCACTTCAGCCTTTGTGGCTCAATGACAGCCTGGCAGTGATGCAGAACGCGTTGTATTACCCCGTCCGCGATCGGTCTGCTGATCTTGCATCGGGAGGGGGGACTCGAACCAAGACTGTCTATCCCTTGATGAGCCTGATAGGGGCAACCACATCCGACGCCTTGATCGGACCCTTCCAGGCCGACGCTCGGGTCAGTGTGCGAATCCGGGGTAGCCTATCTCACCGGTAGTCGTAGACAAGGTTCCGATTGCCGCTTTGAGTCGCAGCGGAGAAGCAGTCCACACTAGACCGCTTCGGGGCAAGGAATCCGGGCGTGCTTATCGAGGCGTATCTTATCGGTGGTGCAGCGGTCGTGCTGTACAATCATATCCTCCTCTGGCAATGCGCTCGTGCAGCCATGCACTCGCTGCTTATAAGGTGGGTTGTGCCCCTCTGTGTCGACTATGGTTTCACACAGTCTGGGTGGTAGCATCACTTTACATCTTCATTTTTGTCCTACCGTACAACTGGCCAGGTCGCCGGTTTATTTTCCAACTGAGGAAAACATATACTTTTACCTCTCCCATACTTTCTACTTCACACCAAGGACTCACTTTTTTGAGAGATAATTCCGAGCGCTTGCATTACACCGCTCCTTCATCATGGTTCTCGAGCGCCTTCAACAGCTGACCCATCAGGTCCAAGCTACTTCTCCTCCTCCTCACCCTTTGGACCCTCTCTCGACGGTGGAAATCGACGCCGCTGTCGCCCTTATCCGCAAGGAATATGGCAAGGTCAACTTCAATGCGGTCACTCTGTATGAGCCCCGCAAGGCGGAGATGATGGCATGGCTGGAGAACCCGCAGAAGGCTCCCCGTCCCACTCGTGCGGCCGACGTCGTTGCCATTGCGCCGGGCGGCAAGGTCTACGATGGAATTGTCGACCTTGATGAGAAGAAGATCGTGAGATGGGAACACACGCCTGGCGTGCAACCCTTGATCACCATGGAAGACTTGCAGGAGGTCGAGTCGATTGTTCGCAAGGACCCCAAGGTCATTGAGCAGTGTGCGATCATCGGCATTCCGAAGGAGGATATGTACAAGGTTTACTGTGATCGTAAGTTGTCGTCCGACGACAGGTTGTGGACTTGCATGATGCTAACTCACCTGCAGCTTGGACAATCGGCTACGATGAGCGCTTTGGAAATGGTGTCCGTCTGCAGCAGGCTCTCATGTACTACCGTCCTCACATTGACGATTCGCAATACACGTATCCTCTGGACTTCTGCCCTATCTTCAACGCCGAGACCAAGCAGGTCATTCACATCGACATCCCGCCGGTGCGGAGGCCCATCAGCAAGGCGCCTCCCAACAACTACCACCCCGCGTCTATTGAGAAAGAGGGCAGCTACCGCACAGATATCAAGCCCATTCACATCACGCAGCCAGAGGGCGTTTCTTTCGGCATCAACGGACGTACTATCGACTGGCAGAAGTGGAACATTCACGTTGGTTTCAACTACCGTGAGGGTATCGTCTTGAACAACATCACCTTCAATGACAATGGAAATGTCCGTCCTGTGTTCTACCGTCTGTCTCTTGCGGAGATGGTCGTCCCCTATGGAAACCCTGAGCACCCTCATCAGCGCAAGCACGCTTTCGACTTAGGAGAGTACGGCGGTGGCTATATGACCAACAGTCTGTCCCTCGGCTGCGACTGCAAGGGTGCTATCCACTACATGGATGCTGCTTTTGTCAACCGCGCAGGTGCTAGCACCATTGTCAAGAACGCCATCTGTATTCACGAAGAAGACGCCGGCATTCTCTTCAAGCACACTGACTTCCGCGATGAGTCTGTGATTGTAACCCGTGGTCGGAAGCTAGTCATCTCCCACATCTTCACTGCCGCCAACTACGAGTACTGCGTCTACTGGATCTTCCACCAGGATGGTACTATCCAGCTCGATATCAAACTCACCGGTATTTTGAACACCTACGCCATGAACCCTGGCGAGGACACCAAGGGCTGGGGAACTGAGGTCTACCCTGGCGTCAACGCACACAACCACCAGCACCTCTTCTGTCTGCGTGTGGACGCCAACGTCGACGGACCCAACAACACGGTCTTCCAAGTCGACGCAACTCGCAGTGAAGCCGAGGTCGGAAGTGCAGAGAACCCGTACGGAAACGCATTCTACGCTAAGAAGACGAAGTACACTACGCCTCTCGAAGCAATGTCCGACTATGACGGCAACACGTCCAGAACCTGGGAGATTGCCAACACCAACAAGCTGAACCCCCACAGCAAGAAGCCCGTCTGCTACAAGCTTGTCAGCCGTGAAGTACCTCCCTTGCTCCCCAAGGCAGGTAGTTTGGTCTGGAAACGGGCTGGATTCGCTAGACATGCCGTGCATGTCACTAAGTGTAAGTGCCTACCATTACCTTTCATAATGGAACTGTTTCACTAACTCCCAAATAAAGACTCCGATGACCAGATTCACCCCGCCGGTCGCCACGTACCCCAGACCTCTGGTGAACCATCCCACGGCCTGCCGGCGTGGATTGAAGCCGCTGGTCCGAACTCCTCAATCGACAACACGGACGTCGTCCTGTGGCACACGTTTGGCCTTACGCACTTCCCCTCCCCTGAAGACTACCCCATCATGCCTGCTGAGCCAATGACTTTGCTTCTCCGTCCGAGACACTTCTTTGCGAGGAACCCTGCCTTGGATGTTCCTCCTAGTTTTGCTCGCACGCCGTCGCAGGTTGCTGCTGGTGCTGGAGCATGCTCTTCTTGTAAGAAGAGTGATGGATCTAGTGTTCAGGTCTAGTTTGCATGTTTCCTCTTTTTCTCTTCTCTTCCCTCTTTGTGAAGGTCTCTTTGTATGATTCCCATCATGGCTTTTGTTTTACTAGCATTTTGGTTAGCTTTTGGAATAGGATTTTCTGAAATCAATTCACTTGTACTTTGTAGTGGATTGACCTGTAAATTCCTTCCCTTAGAGTAACTTGATTGATGCCCTGTGCTTCTTTTTGGTTGACCTGAATGTGGAGTCCTACAAACTCGTGGCACATATATCAGATCTGTACAGATGCCTTTCCCACAACATTGATTCCATGACAATTTTTACACAAATTTCCCTTTCCATTCCTAAATCAGATGTGAATTGGTTAACTACCCAGTCTGAAGCTTGCCCGGTCACTTTGTACCCTTGCAATAGTGACGCAGCAGTATTAACGGACACCGGGTCCCGATTCACGCTGGTAGATTATTTATGGAAATCTCCGAATAACAAATTCTGCTGCCTTGCCATAAATGTTGACCTCTTCACTGCTCTCTTTTCTAAATTACCTGGTACTGCTATAATTGTCTATATCCTCGAAAGCTACTTGGTCTATGGCCAGGCACCAGCGTATGATACTTTTCGCTTTTGGCCATGGAATCACATCGCACGGTGAAATAATGTGCACTCACTGCGAATTTTATTCTACGATTCCCTGTGTTCAGTGATTCTATACACGTCGCGTATTGTATGAAGGTGGTCCTTCACCAGCCGCTTCACAATCATGGCTGTTAATTACATTAGCTGATTCTCGCTCTGCCTCTCCTATAAGAAGCTCGCTTCTCCTCCCTCTCTCTTCCTCTTCCTCCTCACCTCTCTCATCCTCACACTCCCATCAGCACCATCAACATATATACTCATTTCCATCTTCTATATACCTCATGGCACCATCGACACAAGCAACATCCTGCAAACGTCTTCCTCTCTGATCTTTGATATACTTGACTTCCTACTTTTCCTCTTCATTGTTGGACTTCTCTATTGTTTGCTGGAATACTCCCTGTTCCATCCTACTAAAAGGGTCTAATCTATCCTGCCATGCAAGTTACCACATCACTCATACTTCGTGAAGGGACCTATATCCATTCTTAATCTTCGAAGATATTGCGGAGCTTCGAATACTGTCTGTCTGTCGCTCGTTCCATATAACGCTCTCCCTAGCTTTCTCGCCCTAATCTGCCAGGAAAATTGGTATAGCTGCGATGCTCAACTTCCAATGGTGTCCAGACAAGAGCACCATCGAGCTACTTGGTTATGGTCGATGTTTGCTTCAATGACGCCTTCATGATGTCTCTGTCAATGGAATATATCACGTTGTCGATGATATCGTGACCGTGATAGCGGACATGTATAATGCTGCATATCACCCGTATCGCTTGCAACATGGGGAGGATGAATATATACCCATCAATCGGCGTGGTGATGGTGCGGTCGCCAGGTCCGCAGAGACAAGCTAGGCTGGTAGCTTTTAGCTTCGGCTGTCGCGATGGGGTTCGCTTGATTGAGGGTCTCGCCTTGAATCACTCACATGGTATTGAGTTACGAACATCACACCGATTCAGTGGTTTTCGGCAAGAGACCACCGTACACATAGCCGTCGGTGGAACACTCCGGCGTTTGCTTAACGCGAGCTGGGCATGCTGAGGCTTTACTGATTCTCTATCTCCCGCGACCAATAGTGTACCGAAGTCCAAGAAAGACACAACGCATCTTGCCACTTCCGTGTCTCTATATCACGAGGGAAGATCATCACGGCAGGGTCTAGCACAAGACCATTTTCCCATGTTCTATCTCTACGCATCTTTAATAATGTGATCAGTCTTTGAGCAACCTTCATCATGCTCAATACGCTTGACTGGACTGCCAGCCAACGGTGCTGTTGCTACAACTGCACCTTTCCGATCTTCTTTCTCCTGACTTCTATCTTCTATTTCTCGCCAATCTCTCCCATCATACATATCCCATCTCACTCTCACTTACTAGACCTTATCATGGAGATGACCATGGACACGGATCAGTGGGAACAACCCGTGGAGATGTCTACTGCAGAAGAGTCTTACGG